ATTTGTTTAATTTCCATTGGAAGTAATTCAATTTGGGTTAGCATTATCAGTATTAGGTAGCAGTTTGATAGTATGCACCTATGAGCCCTGACTGACCCCCAGGGGCTGATGGGTGGGGCCAAAAAGGGTCGAATTTACTGACATTTCAAACTTCTTCTCAAGACCCAGATATGGTAGAATCAAATACTCTTCATAGATGGAAGGGTCTTAAGGTTTATGACCCTAGGGTCTCACGTTTACCCCCTGGGGAAGGAGGGGGGGTGGGGGGGTAAAATTTATTATGGTTTATAATGGCAAATGATACTTTTAATATTACATGTTAATAACTTGATTGGAATTATAACCTTGAATTGACAGTTTGATACTATGAAAATTTTGAGCCAGCCCTACCCCCAAGGGCTGTAGGGTGGGGCTCAAAGGAGTCGGTGTGCTAACATTTCTTCATTTTCCTTGTTAAGAATCAGAGGTGCTAGTTTCAAATCCTTTTTAGTCTGAAATCTGTATGCATGTTAAAAACAAAATCAACTCTCTGTATAAATATATCAGGTGACCATTAAGGCCCATGGGCCTCTTGTTTAGCTCACCTGGCCCCAAGGGCCAAGTGAGCTTATGGCATGGTGCAGCGTCCGTCGTCCGTCCGGCGTCCGTCCGGCGTCAACTTTTTACTTTAAACAGCTTTTCCTCAGTAACCAAAAGGCCTAGGGTGATGATATTTGGTCAGAAGCATGCTTGGATGAAGGGCTACCAAGTTTGTTCAAATAAATGACCTTGCCTTATATTCAAGGTCACTGGAGTCAAATATGTTTAAAACCTTCAAACAACTTATTCTGAATAACTGAGAGACCTAGGGTGATGATATTTGGTCAGAAGCATGCTTGGATGAAGGGCTACCAAGTTTGTTCAAATAAATGACCTTCATCAATTTTCAAGGTCACAGGGGTCAAATATGTAAAAATCTTTAATCAACTTCTGAATAACCAAGAGGCCTAGGATGATGATATTTAGCCAGTAACATGCTGGAAAAAAGGGCTACCAAGTTTGTTCAAATAAATGACCTTGCCTTATATTCAAGGTCACTGGAGTCAAATATGTTTAAAACCTTCAAACAACTTCTTCTGAATAACTGAGAGACCTAGGGTGATGATATTAGGCCAGTAACATGCTGAGATGAAGGGCTTCCAAGTTTGTTCAAATAAATGACCTTGATATATATTCAAGGTCACAGGGGTCAAATATGTTTAAAACCATTGAATGACTTCTTAATAAGCAAAAGGCCAAGAGTGATGATATTTGGCCATTAACATAATGGGATGAAGGACTACCACGTGAATCACCTTCACCCATATTCAAGGTCACAGTGGTCAATAGATATTTAAATCTTTAGATGATTTGTTCTGTATAACCAAAAGGTCCAGGGTAATGATATTTTGCCAGAAGCATGCTGGGTTGGAAGACTAAAAACTCTGTTCAACCTAATGTCCTTGTTCGACATTCAAGGTCACAGGCATCATATGTTTAAATCTTTTAATAGGTTCTTATGAATCAAACACTGATATTCTGCCTGTAGCTGTATCTTAGTCAACTTTTAAGATTACAAGTGTGAGATTAATACCAGGTGAGCGATGCAGGCCCATTGGGCCTCTTGTTTAGTTTAGGTCACCTAATGTTTATTTTTTCAACATTCATGAGGTCATTACAACATTGGCTTTCTGGACATATTCCATGAATCGTGCTATCTTTAAAATCAAGCCAATCATATTTAATGTTAACTCATATTAGCATAACAAATCTACATCGAGGGCTGTATCACTGTATGGGTCCAAGAATACAGAATATAAATATTGACTTGTCAGTCCTCCGTGCATTTGAGATTAATCACATAAATAAAATGGCCGACAGGTAGCCATCTTAGATTTTGACATTGAAGGTTTGTTATCGCTATTTCTTAGTACTGGAGGGGGTCTTTCTCAAATTTGACATGTTGGTCTGTAGTTGTGCATGTTAACGTTCGTGACTGATCAGATAAACAAAATGGCCGACAGGCTGCCATCTTTGATTTTGGCAGTGAATTTTTAGGTCACCTGAGACAAAGTCTCAAGTGACCTATTGCGATCGCCTTTTGTCCGTCGTCGTCCGTCGTGCGTCCGTAAACAATTTACATTTTCGACTTCTTCTCCAAAACCCCTGAACCAATTTCAATGAAATTTTGCA